AACTGCATTTTTAAGGATCGATCTTGAACCCTAAACCATACCAAATCTGGAACCAAAAGGTAGGAGAGGGATATACCTGATATGGAGTAACAACAATTCCCAACGAAGGTGTTCATGCCCAAGGAAAACGCCAAAAACTGCTCCCACTGAAGATGACACAGCGTAGGGTGGAACAGAATCAGTAGGTTCTTCAGCAAGAACCGAACTCTTCAGCAAGAATTTGATGGAGAGGGAGTGAGCACGACTTCAAATAAGTTTTTCACCAAAAACTGATATCAAGAACACTTCTTGATCGCTCCTACTAGTGAAGATCGAACTATTAGTGGCAGCAGCAAGAGGAGGAGACAAGAGCAGAAGATGGCGTCAGTCTCACTGTAGCTGTCTTCTCTATTATGTTCTTCTGTTGTCTCTAGAAGGGTTCACCCTCCTCCTCTATTTATAACCTTAAAAAGAGGTTCTCCTAACCTCATTAGGAGTTTCCTAATCCAAATCTTATTTGGATCTGGACTCTCTTTAAGAGATAAGGATAGACCCTTATCTTATCTGCAGATAAAGACCAGCCTCCTAATCCAATTAGGAGTTTCTTGATCCAAATCTCAATTTGGATCTGGACTCTCTGAGTGGATAGGGACAATCCCTTATCAAATCTACTGATCTAAATCCCAGATCCGCCCTTGTTTAATTGATCAAATTAAACCAGTTCAATTCGGGCTTTAGGCCCATTAAGTCCATGTGCTCACTTATCTTCCAAACTACTGTCCAGTTGGGTATCGTTGTAYGGCATTGGACCAAAATATTGATCTACACATCAACTACATGGGTTTAGCTTAACCTCTGTTACAAGGCTTGGCCGAATTCACTGTAGAAATTAGTAAACCCCTGAGTCCATCACCATGGGCTCTTATTGGGCCCAACATTTACACTAAATGGTCCCTGGGTCAAGCCACCTTATAAAAACTCAATGACTGTAGGTAGATGTAAGATTAGTCCATCAGGTATTACCCTCAATGGTCTTACACTTAACCTCTCAATCCATAATGATCAAACACTGTCTGACAAGAGAGGACCTCTCCCTCGACTGCAAGGTACAGTGCTGCACTCTCTACTCACATGGATCCCGGGAATTAAAACCTTTTGCAAACATTTTGAAACCATAGTATATATATATATATATTATATAAATACATTTTGCAAAACAAATTTTGACGGTTGAAATTGACTGTCGGCAGTTTTGGTTTCCATCAGAGAGAGTGCATCCCTGATCATTCACTTGGTCCGACAAAGGGGCTGATCCTGTCACTATGATCACCCACTCAGATGAATTCTTGAACTGTCCCAACATACCCAGGTTTTGGCCCCCTCTAAGGATTTCACTGATTGGCATATCAAAGACAACCCAATCCGATACCTAGTGCAGTATCATAATCGAGTCTAGGGGTCAGGTGTAATATTCTAGTTTTGCCCATTAATCTCCAAGGTCCAGGGCAATACTAGAATTCTGGTCCGGTTCAGAGTTTCAAGGAAACCCACACTGCATGTACCTCAGGTCTCACCCTGGCAGCTGAGACAAGCCACCCCAACCAACTTGGCGGTACATTAGTGTCAGCCTTGCCAGGATAAATCTCCCCAGATCTATCCAACGACTGTGAAGATTCTAAACTAACACGAGTCTCATAAGTGTCCAGTTTAAGGGTATTACACAGAAATACACCACATTAACATGAATCAAATATGTACTTTATTCATTTACATTAAATGCCATAATGTACATCATTCTGATTGGAGCTAAGGACATACACTGTTTAACATTCCCAACATTACCAAAGGCTTAACAAAAGAGAATAGATCCATTAAGGCTTCAAATGGTTAAGAGAGAACATTATCTCTTTGGTAGTTGACTGCAACCTCTTGGTAGTTAACTACTTGGGTCTACATACTCTTCGCTGATAGACATGGGGCTTATTCGTTTTCTCTAATAGCTAAAAGTGCAATAATTAAGAGGTGTATTGGTGTTAGTAACTTTTCTTTCCTCTTAACTATGAATGCAAAGAAAATTGTTTGAATTTTAAATTCTAAATTTTGAATTCTGAAAATTATCAAATGCCCATTTTAACCCCATATATGAAAATTTTTGTTTGTCTATAATTTAATAAAACATAATATTAAAAGTTATTATAATGATTATTAATTAATTAATAACAATTAATAACAGACACATAGTCGAAAACCTTGATTTTATTATTCGATTACTGATCAAAGTCAATGTGACTTAGTCTCAACTGTCATAGGTAATCAACTACTACCTCAAGGGTAGTGAACTATTCGGTGACACCAGTCTCAACTTTCACATGTAGTTGACTATTACCTCATGGTCAAATAATGACCATGTCCAACCTTAGAATCTTTATGTAGCCGACTCCCAAGGTTTGGGAATTAACTTTCCATGGTTTCATGCTTAAAATTTTTACAATTAAAGCTTAGTTAAAATCTAGGGAAAGCCTAACCATTTAACTATTGGTCTCTAAGGTTTTGGTTATACAAAGGTAGGTCAATTAAGCTAATTGTTGTGCACTTGTGCATCTTGCAAATGATTACATCAAGTCATTGATATTCTTCAAATGAGTTTATCAAAATTTAAGTTCATTTGATAAAGTCATTTGGTATAGTTGCATACTTATCTTTTAACAAATGATAATACGCTCATTGAATTTGTTATCATTAAAACACATAGCATCAACAATCTCATATTTTTGTTTATAACAAACCATTAATGAAAAAAATGGTAATATTTATAAGCTCATATAAAAGGAAGGGCATTTTAGTCAAGAAAAAAACCATAAAGCTCATTTATTTAATGTAACTTAAATATAAGATTTAATAAAGAGTTGGAGTTGATACCTTAAATATAAGACTTAGTGAGTGAATATGTTGAATTTAAAAATAATAGTTCAAATTACATTTTTTGTTCTCACAATGAAAAGAGACAAAAAATTCAAAGGGTATTTTAGTCAAGAAAATCTACAACCTAAGACCTAATTTCCACTTTTAATAGTAGCATGGATATAAATACATTATTTTCAACCCATAGTTAAATTAGATAGTCAGACCAAATGACCCATCACCCAATAAGACTTGTAGGCAAAGGTTCAAAGTATCGACACATATCGGCCCGTATCGACCGATACGTATCATTCTGGGACCCCTCCGATACGCCCCTATAGTGGATGTATCGGGGGTCTGACTAGTTCAGGGGCTAGAGCCCTAAACCGGTTTCAGAAAAAAAAAATAGTATCAATCACCCAATACGCCCCTACTGGCATATCGATCGTATCGATATTTTGAACCTTGCTTGTAGGTCTATTTCACCTCAAACCACTTTTTGGTATAACCATACAAATTTGAGTGCAGGAAATCTACATTCGAAGGAATTCAAAGTTTTAACCTTATATGCTACCTTCATATATTACTTTCTTCTTTTAATAAATTGAAAGACTACCTTATCAAAATTAAGACAAACTAACTGAATAGAATCCAAAAGATGGTAACAACCCCAAAGGAGAGATACAATATCTCCTATAAAACCATAACCATCATGTTCAAATCAAGACTACAACCAATTGGTTTCAATCAGCAGGCATGCAAATTGGGCAGCAACCAAAATAGGCTTGAGTTCAATTTAAACACCAATAATTTAACAATGAATATGACTTTAAACATGACTGAATAGCAAAACAGGTTTAATGTAGCCAATCCTATATAGTTGAATAAGGCTTGGATGATGATGATTTAGAATTCTACCATCTTTGCATGGGGGGTGGGGGGTATCTCTCATCCCCTTAACCTTCCCCCCAACCACCATCAGTTGGTTGACCATTATCTGTTCTTATAACTATATAAATCCAAAGATGGATTGATCAAACCTCCATTTAAACTCAGTTTAACTAATTTGGTGGAGGCAAGGACCAACTACTACCATTCCTACCTCTGATTAACCTTAAAAAAGCTATAAACATTATTATTTGTTCTATCACTTAACCTACCCTGAAAAAACACCTGTCTAGACAATTAAGATTATTCCTTGAATTCCAATTAAAGCTGTAAAATTCCAAGAGAGAAAATTCAACTGCTCATCCTTTCTGGTGAATGGATTTACTTTTCATTGGTAATATCTAACAAGGAATTAGAAGTTCTATTCTGAGTTTGAATTGTCCAAGACTTGAAACCCAATCTAAAGTGAGTCGACATAGACTGCTTAGGCATCCAAATGGAAAAATACCAAACTATATAGTCTCAAGGGTCAAAAGCCATTTTTTACTGTCTTATATTGTTTGAGAAAATTTAGGAGGGGCAAAATTTGAGTACTGATAAATAAATAAATAAATAAAATCCTTTGACGCTAAATAATCCATACACTAAAGCCGAAGACCCAAAATCCAAATTGTATAGAATACCAAAATCCGTAATTGAGAACCCCAAATTCTCCAACATCATGGAAAAACTTAAATATCCACAAATATATTTATTAGCATCTTAAACTTGTTCTTTATCTTTGAAGAACAAGCCTAAAAACCAAAATAGTTCTTACACCCTTTTCTTTCTGAATGACTAAAAATGATTGATTTTCCTGTTGGGAATAAGTAAACATGGTTGTCAAAACCGTAACACAACATGTTGCTGGTGTTGGTTCCCAAAATCTAAACTACTCACAAACTTCCATGTGGTTTGGCTAGGAATTCAACCCACGTTCCAAGAGAAAGTTGACGTTTAATAACTATACAGAATTTAAGCTGTATTGTTGAGTATACAGGTGTTTAGGTAGCTATATCTAATCAGGTATACACAGGTATATACCCAGTCATCACGACACAATTTGGGTTTAAATTTTTACCATAGACAAGGTTTTCAATTAACACCTTGTACAGAAAGACCGTCCTTAACAAAGAAATTAGTCCAATAACTATTATAGTTGATAATATACCCTATGAAGAGGAGTTATCATGGAGATATAAAATCAGTAAACAGTAATATTTCATGAGGTTCAAAAGCGCATCAAACTAAAAATACAACATACAAATAACAACCCCAAAATAATTATCAACTTTTTACAATGAATCAATTGATTTGCATTAGGATTCATAGTTGTCAATCTTTCATCACATTGAATATCAGGATTCAGTGCAGGATTTGGCTGGAGTCTCAATCTTTCAGTATCTTGCAGGCCCACATTTGAATGATCATTGGGAAGTCTATCATCTAGCATATAAACCAGGTGGACGCCACATTTATTAACTTGGATTTCTTCTCCACTCGCCACTCTTCCTCTAATTTCACATACAATTGAAACCTGCACTTGGTCTCCGCCTTCCAACCAATTTCTAATCTCGCTTGTAGAATGAGGATAACCAGTAATCATAACATCACCATTTATCAGAATATCACCAATCATAATAAAAGTCCTGTAGATCACCCAAACATTCTTTCCACGTTTTAGTAAAGAATGGTTTGCATATGGCTGTACCGTCCACTCAACACCTTTTGTTTTATTAATGATTTCTGCTTTAAATAAAGTAAAATGATGCGAACTGTAATTTTTGTTTGCAACATAAGCAGCACATATGATCAGCCCTTGGATCTTGCGATTTACAAGTGGAGGCACCTCAAAAGATATAAGAGAACCATTGTTTTGATAGCTAAACCAGTCAGGGATATCACTTCCCAGGAGATGGATGTCAGATCGATCAGCTTTTCTTGCTCCCTGTTGTTTCATGATGATGAGTATGATCAGTTTGGTGATAACGTATTTAAATTACATAAATATCATTTTTATCTGAAACCTCCCTCGACTTTGTTCACATCTATTTTCTTAATGTGACACATGCTAATCATATTTCTATCTCCAAGATATGCTCTACAAATAATATGATAGGCACTCTATCTGTAGGGTCATTAACTAATACTGCTAATCTATTTTTTTTTTTATGGTTAGTTTGTTCAAACAAATTACAAAAAATGGCGGTCCCACATCAAAAAACTTCTGTTAGGGGTAGGCAAGTGTGGCTAACAATAATAACTGCCAAGGAAATCATTGCAAAATTGAGAAGGCAAAGGAAAGGAAATGATTGGTTTGCAATAAAAGTAGATATGTCAAACGTATATGACAGATTGAAACAAAAAACGGGGTTTCCAATGGATTGATGAAACCTTATAAAACAATGTAATGATACCCCAGCATTTTCAATAATAGTAAATGGTACTCAGAATTATTCAACTTAAATGAAGAAATTAGGCAAGCCAACCCACTGTTAGTTTACCCATTTATCCAGGGGATGCAAATTCTTTCAGGTCTGCTGGAAGGTAGGCTGAAGGGAATAATGTTGACTAAAAGTGACCTGTCAATGTCTTATTTACTATTTGGTGTTGATTGTATGCTGTTATGTAAGGCAAAACCAAAATATTTAGATTTAAAGGAGCTGCTCGTCTTTTATCAAAAAAATAAAGGAGCTGCTGGTGAGAGGAAAATGTAGGATCCCTATCTCCCTTGTTGATGACTCTCTTGTTTCTATCTCAGGTAATCATAAGATCCCATCGATGATTGACTTTGGTACCTCTAACATATGACTAATGTGTCTCTTTTATTTTTTATTTACCAGCTTTTATCTGGTAGAGACAAGATTTCTCTTGTTGATGGCTCTCTTGCTCCTATCTTTGGAAGGGAAATATCAGAGCTTTAGATACTAACTTGCTTTAAGTTAGTAATTTGACAAAATTCATGAACTATAGTTTAACCTTTTACTCTTCTTAATATGTTTTTCAGGGCATGAAATCTCGGAAGGCGATTAAGAGTGACCATGAGACGAATGGGATACAATTGTTGGATATGCTTGAACAAAGTCAACTATCACCTCCAAGAGCAACCTTTGGTTCTAATGTGCTCAAGTCTGTCAATCGCATTATGTTATGTCATTAACGTTTGAGTCATCTTTCTTTTTCTTCATTGAGTCTTTTGTTTCCAGCTTTGTTTAAAGATTAAGTCTACATTGTGAGTCATGCGAGTTGCCGAAGCATTGTATAAATTCTTATCCTACAAGTAATAAAAGATCTATAGTTCATTTTCATATCATTCACTTTGATGTGTGGGGGCCATATCATACCATTTTCCTTGCATGGATAGTTATAAATACTTTATTTTGTTTATTGATGATTTTTCTCATTATACATAATTTTGCCTTGTGCATTCTCGTGCTAAAGCACCTAAGCTTGTGAAGCAATTTCATGAATCTTTTCTTACCCAATTTGACATCCACATCATTTTATTTTTCTGATAAGTAACTTAAATTATATTAACAAACTTAATGTAACATCTTTATAAGCATCCCTTAGAAAGGCATGAGCTGCTACCTCTCAGACAATAAAGCAAATTACAATTGTGCCCAAAATAAAAATAACTTATTCACCCCTTGCTTAGCCAAAGGATCCACCACCCGGTTTGTTACTTTCCTCACCCATTGTATCCTCAAATTCATATTTCCTAGTTAGCCATTTAAATTTGTTTTTCATTTCACTCTTGTAGCACCAAATTATCGACTCTGGATTCTTTAACCACATCACCACCACTTTTTTAAATTTCCTCCAATCACCACATTTGCCAAATTTAGCTCACTAGCGGTTTGCACCTCTTTTTTTGCAGCAGGTAATTCCACTTTGAGAGATTTACACATACCTGCAAGGCCATAAAAGAATGCTACATGTTTACCTTCTGCATCTCTCAAAATCCCTCCTACTCCAGAAGGACTTGGATTACCTTGGCTACCCCCATCAAAGTTCAGTTTAACATAACTTTCAATTGGTAGTACCCAAACAACCTCCACACTATCCTTTCTATTAGAGCTTTTAGCAACTTCTTCCCAATTCCTCCAAATATCATCAAAAGAAAACTGGGAAAACAACTCCAAGGTCTTGATCCAATGGATCACCCTAACCATCAAACAAATCCTGATTTCTTCCTTCTCTCCTTCTCTGAGAAAATTCTTGCATTCCTCTCTAACTAAATAGTCCAAATCATGACTACTGACAAATCTCCACATTATCCTTCCTCTCCTCTTTGGCCAAGTAAACAAAGAAGGATCAAATAAAATATTAATCTCCGTTGGTAAAGTCCACATGCACCCAAATAAAGAAAAAAAACCAAAGCCAAATTTTGCGACAAAGGTAGGAAATCAGTAAATGAAGGCAACTCTCGTTATTGGATGCATAAGGCACAATAGTTAAGGAAGAGACAAGAATTAGGTCTTCTCTTTTGTAGCATGTTCATAGTATTTATCTTCTTGTGAACTACTTCCCAATAAAAAGCTCTTACTTTGGGTGGTACGGGTCTACACCAAAATTCTTTGAAGGGAAATGAAGAAGTTGAGGATTCAAAAAATGTCGTCAGAAAAGAAGCACAACAAAAAAACCCTTAGGGTGGGGGTCCCAAATACAGTTAGCAGGTTTATTGGGGTCCAAGCAAACATTTTGAAGGAGTTTTAGGAGCTATGTAGTACAAGCCAAAAGTTCATTATACCTGAAACCTTTGCAGAAACCAAAGTTCCAATTAAGACTCACAGGATGTAATGGAGGAACAATAAATTTGACACAAACTCACTTTTGTACAAGGAAACCAAGTATAATGAAGGGAAGAGATCCTTTACCGGACAAGATCCAACCCAAGTATCCTCCTAGTATTTAACAGAAACCCCAACACAAGCATCATGCCTAACAAAATAAAGAAAGTGAGGCAGAACAATGTGAATAGCTTTCCAAGGTGAGGCCAGAGTAGCTCTGGTAGATATACATCCCAACCATTTCCTGAACTTCTTCCATGTATGTTGGCTAATCTTCATGCCACAATCTATCCCTACCCATTGGCCACCACCAAAGCCATTTCCCTAGTAAAGCCCAGTTTTTTTTTTTTTTTTATCCATACCCAAACCTCCCTCTTGAAGATTCCTACACACAACCTCCCATTTAACCAAGTGATCGTTCCTTCCATTACCCAACTCCCACAAAAAATCCCACATAACCTCATATTTCTTGGCTTCCTTTTGAGTGATTCTAAAAATTCATAGGAAATAAATTATCAAATTAGCAAGCGTGGATTTAATCAAAGGAATTCTTCATCCAGAAGATACATAATTTCTCTTCACTATTGGGTTCCAGAATCTTTTCTCCTTAGGATTTGCTCCTAAAGGAAATTCTAGGTAGGCCAAAGGCCAGCTAGAAATAGGACACTCTAAAATATTTGCAGCAAAGTTCAGTTCCTCTTCCTCTAAGTTGATTCCTGCTATGCAGCTCTTGCCTAATTGATTTTCAGATTAGAGATGAGCTCAAACTTCTTCACCAACTCCCTCAAATTCCTTTTCAATTCTTGCTCTTTATCCTCACAGAAAATTAAAACATCACCAGCAAACTATAGATGAGTTATTGGGACCCTACTCCTAAATTTCAATCTTCCACTCTTTTATTAGATTCTCCCTATCAGCCTTTAAGATCATTCTACAAAATACATCCACTACTAGGGAGAAAGGGTGAGAGAGGACCACCTTGCCTCAATCCTCGACGAGCTGGAAAGAAATCTCTAACAATCCCATTAACGAAAATGAAATAGTGGCAAGACTTAACCAAAGATCCATTTGTAGCTTCTCTCCCTAAACCCACAATTTTTCATCACCTCAATAAGGAAGGTCTAGTTCACCAGATCATAAGCTTTCTATAGGTCCAACTTGCACATAAAGCCTTTCCTCTTCAATCTTTTCAAATCCTCTACACATTCTTGAACTAGAATTTGATTAACTATTTGCCTCCCCTGAATGAAAGCTCCTTGATTTTGACTGATTAAGTTGGGAAAACTAATTTGAAGCATAATGAGAGAACCTTGGCTAAGAACTTGTAAATGATAGTTACCAAATTGATTGGTCTAAAGTTCTTTGGATGACTGGCATCATTTTTTTTCAGAATAAGAGTTAGAAAGGTTGTGTTCACCCTTGGGTAACTCTATGCTTCTCTACAAATTCATTGAAGACCTTGAACAAATCATCTTCCACAATTTCCCAGCAACCCTAGTAGAAAGCCATTGTAAATCCATCTGGTCCGAGGGCTTTGGATCCATTTTCCTTCTAGAAGAGAGAGAAACGAGAGAGGAGAGGAGAGAAGAGAGAAGAGAAGAGAAGAAGAGAGAGGGAGAAAGGTTTGAGAGTCAAAAAGTATTGTTGGTGGCATACAGTTTCTTATTTATAACAACTTAACATAAAATAAGTAGAAGATTACATTTATACCCCTAGTAGCACACCCTAATAATAAACTAACTTAAAAGAAGAAAAGAACAAGCTGACAGCACACTAACAACAAATATAAAAAATAAGTGAATAACACTAACAACACTCCCCCTCAAGTTGGGCTGAATATGTCTATCATGCCCAACTTGTCATACAACTCATTGTATCACGAGTATGGAAAACCTTTTGTGAGGACTACAGCTAATTTCTCCTTGGAGTTGACATAAGTAGTACAAACTTCCCCCCTCCCCAATTTTTCCCTTATGAAGTGTTTGTTCACTTCAATGTGCTTGGTCCACTTGTGCAGAATAGGATTGCTGGCAATGTTTATAGCCACCTTATTGTCACAGTAAAGAGACATAGGATTGTGAACAGTAACTCCAAACTCCCCTAGAAGGTGTTCATGGAGTAGCAATAACTCCCAATAAAGGTGTTCACACCCAAG